TCTGTGCATTGACTAGGAGAATGGAGTTACATGTATTTGACTTTGATGGTACGATCTTCAACTCCCCATCCCCCTCCACACGAATAAAAGAAACTCATGGGCCGTCTGTTTACTCTAAACTCATGCGGCCTCTGCAGGATGGCGGCTTCGGCTGGTTCCAGAGCCTCACCACCTTAACGCCCCCCGCCGTGCCGCGGGAACCAACACTGGAGGAGTGGTATGTGGCCCCAGTGATCCAGCGACTGCGGGAACTGGAACAGCGGAGACGAGAATCAGCATCCGCAGGATATCCTCCCAACGTGAAAGTGTGTTTGTTAACAGGAAGAGATGAGTCATTTCGTCAACGTATTGAAGAACTTTTGGCACATGCAGGACTTCGTGGGATGATGACAGCGGTTTTGTTAAAACCACATCAAACCTACGGTACGGTGCGGTTTAAGTTGGAGTCCCTGTATGCACTTATTGCCGAACACCGTCCAGAACATGTATTCTATTATGAGGATAGAGAAGAACAGGGTCTTAAACTCTTAAATGGGATTCGTCTTCTCACCCGGGCCCTTCACCCAGGGAAACCGGATGATTCCGTTGTGAATGCTGTCGTTATGGAGAGTGATGGTGAGTTGCGTCCACATATTGTAAATAAGGGAAATTCATCTGGAGGAGCCATGCTGGAACCATGTAATGCCGCTGTTCGTTGGTGGGAGGAAACACGAAAGCGTGCCGCCCCACATCCAGTCACAAGCATTGAACCCTTTATATTTACACTCTTGTTTGTGGATCCCGTATTGGCTTCACGAAGTGAGAGCATCCTCACAGCAGAGGAGGAAAACACGCTTGTTTCTCAGTTGCAGTACGAAAGGGATGCGTATGTTAGCAGCAACCCTACTGCCGTACATCCACAGAAACATACGTTTGGAAGGGCCCCCCGTAGAAGTCAAAAGTGAACCACATTAAATATATATATATATTTCTATATACATGCTATTATGTTATGAAATAGTATACAAACTTTAACGTGTGTAAATGGCAAACAATGGTCTTTATATTTGGAAAAATATCATAACCTTTTGTTTTTTTAAATTTTTTTGCTTTTTTTTTTCTTTGTATTCTCTTTTATTCTACTAAATATTATTTTTTTCTGTTTCTTTTTTTTTTATTCTTTTTTTTTGTTTTCTATTTGTTTTTTATTCTCTTGGTTTTTATTTATTTATTTAATTTCGATTTCAGGAAGAAGAATGCGGAGTGCACATTTACCACCACATTTGGCAATCCGTGGTGGATCCTGTAAACATTGGATCGTAACCGCTACGAACCGAAGTGAAAGTTATCATTCTTTTTGCGCATCCCAACAACAACATCATCATCAAAGCTCAGAGAGTAATTTATTATCTTTATCATCATCATCATCATCTTCTACTTCCTCCCCTTCTTCTATTGCAAACACGACGGTTCGATTTCGTATTGATCATTTATTACCAAACGATTGGAGTGAACTTTTGCGTCATTGTCGTTCTCTAACATCATCACCATGTGAGAGTTTCACATATTCCTCCCCTGGTGACATGGCGACTATAGTTGGGGATGTGAATAGCAGTTTACCTCCAACACAACAAGAACAAGAACGGTATATACTGAATACTGCTTTTATACATATTGTGAAAAGGGAAAAGGATGATTTTGTACCAAACAATATGATATATCATGAACTTCAACAACAATACGTAGTTTCTTCCTCTTATAATACAACAGTGGATGAAAGGACATTAGAGTTTTCTTTATGGTTGCAGCAACTACAGAAAGGGGAAGAGTGTACTGTTTCTCAGCAAAATGAGAGTATACATGCTAGTAGAGATCCATTGGTAAATAATCCACGTGCTTTGGAAGAAGGAGAAGCGAATAGGCGTGTATGCACTGAAGACTTTTCCCATACTTGTAGTGAGAAAAAATCAAATGTTGAGAAGGAATCTATTTTCACATTCTTTCCTCATCATGTTATCGTATCAAATTGTATTCCCTACCGCTCCAAACACTTTGTTGTTTTGGTGAACCACAAACCGATTGTGCCTGGACACTTAATGGTTGTGCCTATTCGTTGTGTGGGAACCATTCACGCGCTATCCGAAGAAGAAGTGAAGGATTGGGGTCGAGTGATGTATCGAACGATACAAGTTTTAAAACGAGTGGCCGCAGCCAACAACAACAAGAATAATAATAATAATAACAAGAATACAAACGATAATAATAATAATAATAATAATAATAATAATAATAATAATAATAATAATAATAAGAATAGCAATATCCCTGATTATTCTAGTTGTGGTTCCGTACCTGCAGTTGATATGGAAGGTGGATTTAGCATTGCCGTCCAGCAGGGTGAACTCGCTGGGCAGACCGTACCGCATCTCCACACACACGTCATTCCATTCGATCCACGTGGGAAACTGGCCGGAGAGCCGGAGAATGATGAAGTTCAGCAGCGGCGATTGCCCCGCAGTGGAGAGCAAATGCGGGAAGAGACAGAGATGCTGAAACCATACTTTGACTTTGTGGAAGCTGCCGAAGCAAGTATAGAAGAGTGTACAAGTAACCCAGGAGAAGGAGAATGACAGGATAAGAAGATATATACATATAAATATGAAAGAAAGGACGATATCATTCTTTAGTGAAAACATATAGTTCCTTTTTTTTTTTTTTTACCTTTTCTGAGTCTCTCTCTCTCTCTCTCTCCTTTTTTCCTTTTTTTTACCCCTCTCTTTTCACAGGGTTACACTTTTTTTTTCTTTCTTTCCTTTTCACATATGTGTTGTTATTGTTTTGAGTGATTTTTTTCCTTTTTTACCCCTCTACATTCTTTTCACTTTTTTCCCCCTTTTCTTTCCCACACTCATTATTTCTAAAATGCACTCTCTACACTCTGCATGAGAGAGGTACAGATAGCAAAGGTATCCACAGATCATCATCATCATCATCAGCACCTCTGGGAGGTGATATAAACAATAATATTAACAATAACGATAGTAAGAGTAATACTACTACATTGTAATGAAGAGTCTCAGGGAGGCCAAGGTACAATTGCGCCGTACACATCTTCGATTGCTGCGTGAGATGGCGAAGAATCATCCATCATCTCTCTCTACAGAGTCAGACCAGTTGTGTTCACTTTTGTATGAACAGATCTATAGATTAAGATCCTCTCGTGGATGGAATACATCTCTTCTTCTTTGTGCCTACCTCCCTGTATACTATGAAATAGATCTGTTACCACTTCTACGACGTATCTGGCAAGAACAACGAGAAGAACAGCAAGAACGAAAAAATATAACACCTGTAAAGGTATTTGTACCAGTTGTAGTTTCTCCACCAAAAGAGTTAGATAGTAATAATAATAATAATAATAATAATAATAATAATAATAATAATAATAATAATAATAATAATAATACTCAGGAGCCTTTTCCACTTTGTTGGCAACCGATAGAAACTGCTGCCCAACGGCTTGGGAGTGCTATGCTCTTTGTACAAGTATTTAGTGAAGAGGATATATTAACAAATTTTGAGTGTAGTGGTCAATACAAGCTAATGGAACCCAAAGAAAAAGTAATGAATCATTTTTTTCTTGGTGATAGTTTTGTAGATAACTGTAATACCGACCCTACTCTCACACGTCATTGTATCGCATGTGATGATTGGAATTATTTATTTCCAAAATGTGCAAAACCTGCAGAGTGTCTTGAAATAGAAAGAACTTCCCTTAACGTGGATAATTTTACCTCAATGTTGGTGCTAACTCCTGGAGTGCTGTTTGACCACTCTGGTGGACGTCTTGGAAAGGGTGGTGGTTACTATGATCGCTTCCTTCGCTTTAATTCTGCTAGGGCTACCACAGCTGAGAATGTGGAGATGCTGGCATGGGGAGTGTGTAGAGAAACACAATTAGTCTCTCCAGGTGAGGCCAATCTTCCTGTTTGTATGGAAGATCCATCAGGAGATGGTATAGTGGACTTTAGGATGGACGGTGTAATCACGGCCGCTGGATTTGTGGATTGCAGAAGAAATAGAATTGGATATCAGGCGTAGGTAGATGGATGATAGAGTGAATTTACAGGTAAGAGAATCTTCACTAACATCCTAATATATGAGTGGTGTATATGTTATATTTCTAAGGATATATATATATTTTTCTCAAAATAATATCCGTTATCGTTTTATTATTATTATTATTATTATTATTTTTTATGTTTCCCTATTGGTTTTTGATGCTTCCTTATTACACCTTGGATTAGAGTTTTACTTAATTTAATATGTACGAATATGTATTTGTGCAGAAATATATATATATATATAGCCATATTGTTTCCATTTCTTTTTTTCTCTCCCCCCCTCTCTCTCTCTATTTATCAATTAAATAACTATATATATCTTTTATTTTTATTAAGGTTAGAACGAGGGGTGACTCCCGTGTGTGAGGTATCTACAGGAAAGGAAATCTATCAAAAAGACCCTTCAATGCCTGTGAGCCCACAGTACCGACTCTTCCAACAACGCTATTATTTGGATTCCAGTGAACGAGATGCGGGAGTATCACATTTGTGGCATGCACACCGACTTGCAGAAGAACGTTTACGTACGGGTAAAGGAATTACAGATGCACCCGATGTCGATTTCCGCCACCCTGAGTTAATGGATATGCAACAGGCAAAGGCGAGTGCACTCATGACTCGTCTGCAGCGCCGTGTATTGGATGATGAAAAACGTATCGTGAAGGGAAACACCACTTTATATGGACATCTCATATCGGCAACTGATACGGCAAACCGTGGACGTCGTGGGATGAATAATATGCCAACAAAAGATGAATTGCAGTTGTGGTATCGCAGGGATGAACATATGTTGGCACGACAACGTGATCGGGCAATACAGGAGGCAAATAAACAACGAGATAATCGTTTTATCCTACAACACCTTGTTAACACACAACCGGTGGTGACTCCAGCAAAACAACTAGCTCATTGGTATCATCATGATCATAAAAAGCGGCTTCAGCAATTAAGTCGCTTTAAGCGGAGAGAGCCTTTCGCAGGCGCTAACATTCTTCGAAAGGAATGTAAACTGAGAGTGAGTCAAGACCATTTGGATTCAACAGACCGTCGAACAATTGCACAACAACCAGCATTATGGCAACAACACAAAGTACCCTCAATTGTTGACACCCTCGAATCCGGTCCTGTAATTCCCTCATTATTTGAAGCATCACAGCGATATATTGAGGGTAACCGCACACTGGATTTCACCTACAGATTTGGTGACACATCAACTAAACCACGTAGAGAGAAGAAACCGGAGTGGAAGACAATCTCTGCGTTGGATCCAGTTCTTATAAACTATGCGAATGACATGATGTTGGCACGTGGTGGAAAACTACCAACGGTACGACGTGATGAGGAAAATGGGATCACACATCTTTGGCGTAGAGGTGTTGAGAAGAAGTACCGTGCTAGTGATAAGGGAAAGGACGAGGCGCGGCGTTTGGATGCTGCCTCAACGTGTAACGCCGACGCTGACAGCAAAGGTGTGAAAAGCACCACTGTGATGTGGGAGACCAATCGATGGAAATCGAGAACCAGCGTGCTTACACTATTGCGGGATAAACACCGGCCAAAGTCTCCTGATACCCACTCAATGATTACAGCCAGTGATCATTGGGAAGCCAGAAGTATGCACAGCGGAGTACACGGCGAATCTCATCGATCCCCAACCTCAGTGATTTTTAGGGAACCTGATGTTGAGAATACCTTCTCAAGTTTGAGGAATCCAGATTTATTGCTATCGCTAACAGATGAACCTCAGCTATACACGAAATCCACTTATGACGAGCGCAAGACGTACGGGAAAGTTGATAGTAGGGGAAACGTTAAGCCCTACACTATACCAGCTGATGAACACAGTG